TAGGAAGCATATTGTGTGGCGCTAGGGAAGCTGAAAGAAGCAATGGAGGAGCCTCAAACAGAGTCACTGGCTTTCATCAACAACATGCATTCTCAACTCAGAGACCTTGCTGGATTAACCCTCTCTCCTTCTTCCTCTTCCTCTAACCTCCAAACACATCCTTGATTTATAGCATCTAAATCCCCTGAACGTGTATGTAGCTACCTATATATCTTTCTGCAACCATATATGTGAGTCTCACACTAGAGCCTCTCTATATATCTCTCCAGTTGAACAAGTATTTAGGCCATGTTTGGGGGTCCCTTTTAGCCTTAGGGGTCCCAAAATGGACATCCAAACACGTACTTAACCTATTCGATGTCCTCAGCTCCCTCTCATTGAACTTTAATTTAGAGCTGTGTAGTCATTTATATTGATCTTCTTCTGCTTTAAGTCATCCCACACCTTCTATCTCTATTGCTGATTAATCACTCCATGGCTATACAATTATACTTTATTGTTGTCCTCTTCTTCACCTCACTTTAATATTATCTAGTTCCTTTTTTTCTGAGTTAATTTCTGGTTCCTAATTATTAATTAATCAAAGCATTATCTCATATATATATGTATGTATCAGTTATTAATTAATCAATGTATTATCTCATATATATATATATATATATGTATATGTATGTATCAGTTGAGCTTATGATATGTTTTTTAGTTACGATTTGATACTTAATATGACCTAGTGGTCTTCTTAGATATGGAGTAAATTTGTACTCCTTTAATTTGGAGCACACGTTCACATCTCCGCCAGTTTCAGAAATTTCCATTTAATAGTAGTATGTGGGTGTGCCTGTTATTACTACCTCTGATCTTTAATATAAGACCCTATTTGACTTTTATTTTGGTCCTAAATATAAGACCCTAATCCATTTTGTCTCTCATATTTATATATATTTTTTTCAAAGTAGTCCTTCTAACAATAATAGTTCAAGTAAATACACTTAATTAGCAAAGATATTTTAGGAAAGACAACACCTATTTAGGACAAATAACTAATTTAACTTACTTCCTTAATCTCTTCAAATTAGTCATGGCTCTTACAATTAGGTAGTAATTAATTACATCTCTTGTCATATGTATAAATCCCTTCCAATATAAGTTTCACCAATTTTCCGATGTTTTGATATACATACAGTTATACAGTTTTTGAAAGAGTAACAATCCATAGTCTGTACAATATCAAGGCATTGGTCTTTGTGGAAGGGGCTTTGGCTTTCAGCACGAGGTTTTAAGTTTCAATGTGTACAATAATAAATAAAAAGTAAAATAATTCATTTACATTAAAATATAATAACGTGACTTATAAATAGGAACAATAAAAATATTCTCTCTATAACAAAAAAGAAACTCTCTCTCTCTCTCTGTCTTTGTAAATAGCAATAGAGCAGTATATCAAGTGAATTAAATTTGGATGTAATTTTTTAATGTATCTCTATATTATCATGTTCTTTTGGGGAAAAAATCAGCGTAAAAATCTAATTATGTGATGGATAGCAAATCATATTTCTGGGCAACAATTTACAATTAAACTGACACATTGAGATTAAATATCGTAACACACAATTTTGGTTGTGTGTGTAATTCAGAAGACAGGCTTTGAATGCCATCGAGGGTAATGAATCCCAGTCATTGTTCTATTGGACTTCGCATGAGAAATGGCCCACAGCATGATTATTTGGGCTCGCTACTGGTCCAATATGATCAATTTGGGCTTATCGACGAACCCAAAGCAAATATAAAAACTATGAAAATTCAATCAAATTACTGTTATTTTTTCCTTTTTATTTATTATAATTTAAATTTGGAGACATACAAGTGTTGTCTTTGTTTAATAATTGAAAAGTCAAATTAAGTATAGCAATGTTAAAATACCACCATAAATTGAATAAGTCACAACCAGCCAAGCTCGATATTATATAAAGAAATTTTGTTGGCATAATAGCAACGTGCATAGGAGAACAAGTTAATATTAGTCCTATATATAAAATTTATTTCACATATTTATCAATTTTTTTCAAATGAACCCTATTGATATTTTCCTAATAATAATCAAATAGAAGAGGGATGGAAGAAATTAAGAAAAATGCTTATGGTGTTTTTAAAAAAAAAAATATCATATTAACTAATTTAATTAACTTTTTAATCTTCTTAAATTAATTAATTAGGTTATATGTTAAGGACCGGAAAAATATAATTTATTAACTTATATAATATCCCCAAACAATAATGTTTATTGTTTACACGTTTAATTAGGAATCATTAGATTATAATTTAATATGTTATACAAATTTAGTTTTTTAAAAAAAAATAAATAAAAGTCCTTATCTTATTCCTAAATGAAAACTGAGTTTAGAGATCCACTTGGCACATGCCAGTCACGTTACTCTCAGCCCTTGGCTGCTCTTGTGTTTGGCACCTTGTATAGTGCGTTTTGGGGGACCCACCACCTCCCCTGCCCAACGCTGCCTCATGCTGGGCCGAAGCTTCGGATTGATATTCATGTTAAAACATAGTTCTTATTTTATTGCATAAAATTAATATACAAAATATTATTAATTATATTTTTATTTTTAGTTAACACTAATATTTTATTTAAAACCATAATTTATTTTGTCATTTTGCAGAATTGCTTCCCTATAAAACTTGGAATTGAGTTAGTTTGGGTTATAACAATAATTAGAAAAATATGCGTTAATTATATTCAACCAAAACTGATTAGTACTTTCTAATATCCGAGGATCATGTTTGTATTTAATTTTATTTCTAGGCCAATAAATATCATTTTCTCTCAAGAAATTAGGGCTGCTCATATTATTATACAGATATTATATATAAGCAATGATTAAACACGCCATTCATGGAATAAAAAGAAAAAAATAAGTGGAAATTTATTCATAAAAATTCGGCCGATATGAATAAGATATATTCATGATACACATTCATAAAGAAAATATAAATGAAAGGAGGAGTGTTGCACGTTGGACGTATACGTTGATGCTGATACACGGAGGTGGCAAATGATTAGGACATGTTTGGCTATATTTATTATGTGCACTTCCCTTTGCCCGTTTCCTAGACGATTCCCCAAACAATATTCTATCATATTCCTGATCACGTGGGACCTGCATAACCCCACTTTATTTATTTTCTGCGTCAAATCGAAAATACATTCTTACCAAAATCACCGAATTTATGCCAATGAACTAGTCATAATTTTATATGCGTTAAGTTTAAAACAAACTGTATTATAATAATTTATAAATCATATATCTTTTTTTAAATTTAATTTATAATTTATATGCAGTTCATAGTGAGTTGACGACTTTGCAATGACAGTGATTTTGGTTGATGATTTAGAGTGTGTTTGGGTGACATCCCAAACCATGGTTTGGGAACCCAAACCATGGTTTGGGGTGTCAATCACCCAAACACCTCCTCTAAAAACCAAAACCATGGTTTTGGAAAAAGCAAAAATTTTTTGCTTTTGGAGAAAAAAGGAGAGTGTGAGAGCCTATATGATATGTATCTTGTTATTTTTTTTATAAACATATTTTTTGATAAACATATTTAATCTTATATTTTATAAATATATATACACATTAATTATTTATTAATTATATTATCTTATGTATTATTAATTATGTTGGTAAAAAATATATTATTAACAATTTTATTCCTTCAAATTAAAATATATCATAAAATCTATTTTTTCTGTAATTATCATATTAACTTATGTCTTTTTTTTAGTAATTTGTATATATAAAAAGTGCTTCTGATAACAACTATCCAAACACTCTCACTTCTCAGAATCACTTTTTTACAAAATCTATTCTTCACAAAATCTATTCTCCCTAGAATCCATTCTCCAGAATCACTTTTCCAAACCACGGTTTGGTTTCATCCAAACAGACCCTTAAATAAATATTACATATGCCCAATCGGGTCTGGGACCCGCCGGTAGAAGCGGGAAAAGACCCACGTAACGTTGCACCCAAGGCTCCGTATATCAGCCGCATGCCCGTTATAATTCCCGCCATATGTAACCGGGTTGCACCGTTCCAGAGTTCATGTACGCACATGTACCAACGATTGAATTACACGCGTCCAACGCTGAGATGTGACGGGGCTTCTATAAAAAAGAAACCGGAGAATTGTACTACGTTTGGCGGGTCCATCCGTCGGAGCATCTCTATCTCTCGAAATACCCGCCGGAAAGTCACCGGATCGCAACTGCAATATGGACGACCTTCAGAGCGTGTACAGCAAAAGTTCGCTTGTTTGTGGCCAACCTTGTTGTTAGGAGTGAGGTCTGCGGCGGAGGAGAAGACGGTGGAAGAGGAAGCGGCGGGGATGGGGAAGCAAAGGGACGGCTCCGGCAGCCTAATGCCAATTAATGTTGCGGTGGTGACATTGCCGTGCAACGTCAGCCATTTGTGAAGACACGATGAGGTGAGGCGAAGGGAGTACGGGCAGAGTGATTTTGAGGGATTTTTTTCTTTGCTAGTTAAATTTAAATTAAGAAGCTTTCATTTCTATTCTTTTAGATTAGAGATTCGTTTTCTAGAATCATGAATTTAAAATATATTTATTAGTAAAAATGTTAACTTATTAAAGGTAGATAAAGCTAAAGAATTTAGTTAATTTAGTGTTAACTTATCCAATTGATTTTTTAGTCATTGAACTAGCAATCTCATTCTTATTTAAGGGTTCATGTTATTAACTCCCTGATTCAAAACTAATAATCAAATTAACTTCAGTGAAAAGATATATTCGCTTCCAACTTTACTCGCAATTTCATAATAGCACCGAACAAACTAAACTTGTTGAAACATGAATCTCCAAAGTTGTATAACTAATTAAAAAAACTTGAAATAATCTTTGCATCTTAACAGAATTTACAATGAGAATGATTATGAAAATTGCATGTGGGAGGGCTTATCCACCATCTTAGCAAAAGGAAAAAAGAAAAAGGACCTAATCCTACTGACCCCAACGATGATGAATATATGCGGGCCGGATTTCGGGTTATGGTTGACATAGAAATGGGTGGGTCAAAAGCTGAGATGCTGTCAACCTCTCGTTTGATTCCTTCTTCAAGCAACACTGCACGAAGCTCTGAAACTCGTCGGACGCACTCTCTGGCAAGGTAGGTGGATCGCCAAAACAAATGGCACACATCAAGGTGGCCCAATCGGGTCTCTGACCTGCCGGAAGAAACGGAAAATGACCCACATAGAGTTCAAACAACGTGAGACCCAAGCTCCATATATCAGCCGCATACCCGTTATAATTCCCTCCATATCTATCCGGGTCGAACCTTTCCGGGCTCATGTACGCGCATGTACCGACGTATGAAGTGCACGCGTCCAACGTCCGGCACATGACCTTGCTGACTCCGAAGTCACTGATCTTCACTTCCATATTCTGATTCACTAGAAGATTCGATGGTTTGATGTCGCGGTGGATGACGTTGTTCGCGTGGAGATAGCTCAGCCCATTGAGAACTTGACGCGCCACCGCCGCGAGTTGGGATTCAGAGAAGGTGCCGTTTTTCTTTAGCAGAGTGTCCAGCGTCCCCGAGTCCATGTACTCTAGCAAAATCGCAACATCGCCGGACGGCTTCTCGAAGAAACCGTGGAATTGTACTACATAAGGCGAGTCCGTCCGTCGGAGGATGTCCATCTCTCGCCGGACCTGGCGGCAGGTAATCGGGTCGGAGCCGCTGGGGACCACCTTCAGAGCGTAGATAGCAGAAGTTCGCTTGTGGCGAACCTTGTAGACCGTACCACCATTTCCGTGGCCAAGAACTTCAAGCTTTTCGATGTCGTTAGGAGTGACATCTGCAGCAGAGGAGAAGACGGTGGAAGAGGAAGCGGTGGGCAAGGGGAAGAGACGGCGATGATCGGAGGGCTCCGGCAGCACTAGGCAAAGGTTGAGTTGGCGGCGTTGACGAACGACGGCCATTTCTGAAGAAAGTGTAAGATGAAACGAAGGATCCGTTTGTGTGCATATATGTATATATGAACGAGCGAGTGGGAGGAGAGAGTGCGTTTGAGGGGCCAGGTAAATAATGCAAAGTAAAAAATTTTAAAAATTTATTTTCACAATAAATAAAGAAATGCAGGATTGGATTGCGGAGAGGGACAGATGATACTAGCTAGATGGAAGTTTAACCAAAAATAAAAAGAAGATACAGATGGAAGACGACGGCCATGAAAATGAGTGAGAGAGGAAGGAGGGAGGATATGAGAGTGGGGTCCACTGTCCCACAGAGGCTGCCAAAATATTAACGGTGTGCGTGGGGAGGACATATTAAAGTGGGATTTAAAAAAAAAAAAATTGCATGGGACTAAAATAAATTATGTCTATTTTCAGTAATACAACTTATATGATACATAATTTTTTTTAAAATTTTACTATCGACGTGTAGCTAATATATAATTTTAATGCTAATAATCCTGTACATTCTATAATTGAACATCATGATGTGATTAATTTTTTTAAATTTTTTTTGTATCAATTATTATTTTCTGTCCTTAATACAACAACCAAATAATTAATTTAAAGATATTAAAAAAATTAGTTAAGTTAGTTATTTGTTACAAATATTTATTTACCTTCATAAACTACTTTTTTTGAACATGTATGTTGAAGAAGGTAAAATTTTTTTACAATCAATAAAAATATTATAAAAAAAAAGAGAAATAGGTTGAGGTAGCATCATCTATTTGCTTGAGATATTGTTTCCTAATGCTAAAAACAAAAGGAGTTGTATTGTCATATAAAAATCCAAAATCACTGGGACCAAGTTGATTGTATACAATTCCTCGATGCAGTTAACAAACAGTTATTTAATCTTTTCAGGATAGGCTTCGTTGTTTTATGCATAATTAAAAATTAAAAATAGCTTGATTTTTACTCACGTTTTTGTGGCTAACATTATAGTAGCATGTGCCTCCAAAAAATAAAATTAAACAAAAAAACTGTTTTTTGAACTGCTAAAAAAGTTTCGTAAGCGTGCGTGGCCTATAATGATTATAGTCGAAAAAACGAGAAATTCTAAGAAAAAGTTAAAAAAAGTTAGGGTTAACATCACGTCCGGAATTTGGATGTGACTGAAATAGCAGCCTTCTTCTTTTTTACACACATATATACTCCTTTTATCTTTAATATAAGGCCTATTTAACTAATTTGATTAGATTAAAGAAGTTAGGTAAGTTAGTTAATTATAAGAAATGTGATACGTTTTTCCTAAAATACCATGATCATATTTTTTAATACCCCATCTTTCTCTTCTACTTCATTATAGTTGAGGGAGTATTCATAGGAGTAATTTAGAGAAAATTGATAAATATGAGAAATGAGTCTTATATTTAGGATCAAAACCAACTCAACAATTAAATTCTATATTAAGCACCGGAGGAGTATATATATACTTTTTCATTTCTCAATATAAGACTTTTATATTAGTGTGTATAAATATTTTATATTTACGAGGGAGGAGAGTAAAATATAACGAAGTTTTACATGAACAAGGAAACTAATAGCCCTCAAATTCCATTCACTGTAACAGTGCATGGATTTGAAATTAAAAGCAGCCAGCAAGCCGCAGTTTACTGCCAAATATAATGAGCTAAATTGCATGGTGGAGCCAAGTGGATATATATGTGTGTGTGATGAAGCCACGATTTTGACCCTACACGTGTAATCTAAAACTGTCGGTGCTTGTTTGTTCAATTGAAAAAAAGGTGTAAAATACTTTAACTGGCGTAATAAAATTTCTTCTCATGTTTTCACAGTTTAGTGTCAAATTTAGAAAGATTAAAAATATATATATTTGACTCAATTATAGTTGTAGGAATTTCACATTTATTTTCCGAAAACTTACCACGACTATATAGTAATTAGCAAATTATCTTCTATCTATTAACTTACGAAAATTCTTACAAGGAGTTATATAAAAGCTGGTTTTCTTGTTTTTCCTCCCATTTTCTTTGAATTAACATCAAAGACACGTGGATTAACACCCATAATTGGAAAAGATTATTTACAGAAGTTTAAAATAAGCATTAAGCAAGAAAGTGAAGCGAAGTATCATCTAGGTTGTATTTGTCCAGACGTCACAATTGTCTATGCACTTTGGACAGAAATTGATGAAGATTAAGATATTACAGAACATCTAATTTCAGACTGAGCAATATGAAATGTTACATAAAATATTTAACGATTTTTTTTTTCCTTTTCCCCCCTCAGTAATAGTATATTCCACTCAAGTCCCTACCATTAAATAAGTAAGGCCAATATCATCATACAAACAAACATAAAAACAACTCAACCCAAAAGCATAAGCAAAATAAACATATCGCCCGACAGGAACAATAAAATAAATACTATTATTAATTAATGGATAGGAAACTAGTGGATTTTGTAGCGTGGGAAGTAGCTATGAGAAGGATTTGCAAACAGAACTCTGATAGCCAATTGAAATATATAATTCAGATTAGTGTGGGGGATTAGTTGGCATAATAATTGAGTATTATATCACACCGTGCGCGCAATGCATTGTTTATGGATTTTGGAGACTTTTGGTCCCCAGAAATGAAGTTGCCCCAACCTGTACAAAAAATGACACTAGTGCTTTCAAGCTTGGAGGGTAATCACAGATGATGATGGCAACTGGTAGGGCATGGAAACCAGGAGGGCACATGACTAAGCTTATGCAATATAAAATTTAGTAACAATACTCTTGAAATATTGATCAATTCCCCAGTCCCTTGACACTGACAGATAAAATATTTATTCCCTGGACACCTAAACTGGCCTCTTTGTTAATGAATTGCCAACCATTTTAAAACAAGGGAGAATTACCATGAAGCCTCAAGGAAAGAATTTAATTACTAAGAAATCCCAATGACAAGTGACCAGTATGTACCTGTCATAATTTGCTACCCTAAAATTTGTCATTGCATGCTCTTCAAATTGTTAGTGGACTTTACAGTAATTAAATCCTTTCCTTGGGACTTGATTGTAATTCTCTATTTAAATGATACATTAGTTAACATAAGGACTAGTTCAGTTAGAATTTGAATCAAGAGGAGCAGAAATGAGAACAAAATATGGTTAGAACCAACTTCAAAATTGGTTTGCCTGTGAGGCATCAAAATAAAAATCCTGTCAAAATTTAGATCTCATGACATCCTGCGACTGGGGTAAACCGGTAAACTTAATATTACAAGAGTGCAATACATTCTGAATGCTAATAGGCTGGTAAATAAAGAAGCAAGAAGAATCATACCCTACATAGGCGATGTAATGTTTCAGTGGACACTTTCATCTTCTCTGAATCACAAAACAAACACACCAATAGATTCCAGACACTAATTTCTGGCAGCTTACTTTGGCTTATCATCTCCTCCAACCACATTACAGCTTCATACTGGCTTCCCACAGAGCAAAGACCACTAATGAGTGAATTGTAAGTATAAGAACAAGGCCAATATGACTTGATCGACATCTGCTCCAAAAGTTGACTCGCTTCGATATATCTTCTCTCACGACACAGTGTTTCCAGTACAATGGTGTAAGATTCGTTGTCAACTTTGCAACCTGACTTCTTGGATATCTTATTTAGATACTCAAGGGCCAGCATTGATTGACCTTCATTACATAGGCTTTTCAACACAACATTGTACACGCTGGCAGATGGTAGGCAATTGGCTTTCACCATGTCCTCTTCTATGACCTTCATTGCTTCATCTACATAAGTTTCTTTACACAAGGCTTCCACTTTTGCCTCAAAAATAGGAGGTGTTGGTCTATAGCCTCTATCTTGCATTTCCGCTATGACTTTATCAGCCTCAACAATCTTACCATCTTTATATAGATCAATAGACATAGCACTGTAGGTGGCCAAACTTGGTATGGTTCCTTTGAAAAGCGCTTCATGAATCATGCACTTCATGCCTTCTATATCCTCACCGTCATTGCACCGAGTAAGATCGAGCCGGTGACAACAACGCTTCGGAGCTTTTAGTCCTTTTCTCAAAATCTTACCAAGAATTTCTGTGGCTTCTTCAATTTGACCATTATCACATAAAGCATCTAAAAGAATTCTGTATATCACAATATCCTCACTACTGCCTTTCTGTGAGATTCTCCAGAACATTGAATATAATAAATGCTTACCCTCATGCAGCCTCCCATCTTGGCACAATCCTTTCATTAAGATTGCATAACTGTCTCTATCTGGGTAGCAACCTTGATAGTCCATCTCTTGGAATATATGCAGTGCAAGATCGGATCGATTCTTCTTGCAAAGAACTTCCATAAGCAGGTTCAAGGACTGAACACGAGACTTCACTTGCCAACCATAAGAGCTCTCCCTAAAAAGATGGTAAGCAGCTTCAAGCCTGTTCTCTTTCACCAATATCTTCAGCAGGGTATTGAAAGATTCCGTCCAGTTAATACAGTTAAACCGAGGAATGCTATGATACAAAGAGATAGCCTCATCTACCATTCTAGCTTCAGCATATGTCTTAATAGCTGATACAAAGACTGAATCTTTACATTCACATGAGTCCCTCCTCATCTGCTCTATTACGTCCTTCATCTCTGTGATTCGCCCTGATTTCCCAAGGATGCTAATCATAGTGGCATATGCTGGACCATTGTGGTGGTACTTGGGGTACCTTGATTGGGCTTCTCTGAAAATTTGGAGAGCCTTTAATGGGTTTTTTTGCAATTGCAAAATCTGGGAGAGGTAGGTGGGTGTCAATACTCTGGGCCACCTTATACTCATGGCACCTGAATACGCAGCAGCGAAAATTTGACGGGAGCAGGATCCATCCAAAACTTTTATGCCATATCCATCCTAACAATATCTCAACCACTTCTACTACCAGTTATTTTACTCATGACTCCTTCAAGTACTCCCCCCAACCCAAAATTCACATAGTAACCTATTTTTTCCATGAGTCACATAGTACCGTACAAAAATACAAACAAATTGAACTATAGCTCTTCAATGCAATTCCAAGTATTGGCAGCCACCATAAATCTATGCATTAACAATTTCAACTGGTAAAACCTAATGAAAAACACACATCTAATCAGATAATAGATATCATCTATTGATAAAAACAAGACTTTTTTTTATGCCTAATGAAGAGCTAGCACAGTAAGTTTCATCATTAAGTGATTCATGGAAGAATAGGTCGGATGCATGAAGTTCATACCATAGGTGATCTTTCATCATAGTCAGTTTTTATGGGATCATTTAACCCAATGTTTCAAGAGATAGAAATCCCCCTCATAGGCAGCACAAGTAATCCTCTTAGGCATTTATCCTCAGTTCATGACAATATGAAAGTGAATAACAAAACGGAGACGTGACGAAAGCCACTCATCCTCATAACCAAAGCCATCAACTGGATTGATAACATCATAACAGTAAAAGAGTATGACATCTAAATTAACTAATGCCAGCAGCTCATCACAAAATCAAGAACGACTGAACATACTTATTCCTTATCTGAGTAAATTTAACACAAAACCCATGACGGCGACCCCTTGATTTGTCCAAAAATCTACTTGATGGATCTTTAACAAGTTCTATGGCAAGATTCAGAGGTAAGGAAAAGAGACAACGGAGCTCACCTGGGTCGAAGTCTCACGGACGACTAGACGAGGCACACAAAGATGATGGCGGAGGCGACGATCGACTACGGTGGTTCAGGTGGCAGCGGCGGCTGCTGGAGGAGCAGTGGCGGCAACGACGACTGGAGGAAGAAAACAACGCGCGAAGGAGCGGCTGAGGTACAAAATAGGGCGAAGGGTAAAATTGGGATATTGGAAAAATGATCTGGCAAGTGGCAATTTAGTCAGGATATGATAAATTATCTCTATCCCCTCCAAAATTTTGGAGGGGAGAAGAAAAGAATCCCCTCCGAAAAGAACCCAACCAAACACTGCTGCTCTGTGGCCGGAAGCCTCACCATTCTAGCCTTCCATTCACACGATAGGAGGAAGAGAAGCGAATTTCTAGTCAATCCCTTGAATCTCCATATTCAGTGACCATGAAGTTTCGGTACGCTGTGGTGTGTTCTTCGAACCAGAACCGAAGCATGGAAGCTCACTCCCTCCTCAAAAGGCAGGGCTTCGATGTGTGTTCTTATGGAACTGGTGCCCACGTTAAGCTCCCTGGCCGCTCCCTCAGAGAACCCAATGTCTACGATTTTGGAACTCCCTACAAGCAGATGTTGGACGATCTTCGCAGAAAAGACCAAGAACTGTATCCTCCTTCTTTTCCAACTATTTTCCTACTCGTCCTCTTTCTTCGGCCAAAAAGATAACAGAAACTGGTGGGTGAATTGTAATACGCAGTAATCGACTCTGTGCATGCCTCAGTGTTCGGGCTAGTATGCTAAGATTGATTGATTTGTTCGAATTTTCAGAAAAATGAATTTAATTCTATTTTCATTCATAAATTGTGCAGTGTTGATACGGGATGATTTATCGAGCAAACAGGAAACAAGAATTTTTCTCCCTTTTTCAGCTTCAGCTGTTCTGCTTTTGTTAGACCACATAGGGAAAATTTTGGTGGGGCAAGAGCTTGCCTGCATTTGTTTGTAAACTTTGCATGGATATATGGTTATCTTACACGTTGTGTCTTGAAGTGTCTAAAATATAAATAGTGTAAGATACAGAATTGACACACACATTGTTGTTCATTATTCCTGCATTAGCATCCATGGCACTTCAATTCTTGTTCATTGTACCATTAAGGTTGAACCTTAACGAAACTGCTGCTACAAGCGAAATGGAATTTTACCAATGCTTAAAAGGAATTCAACAGTAAAATTAGCACCTCAACGATGGCAAGACAATGCTGCTGAGGGATCCTTTGACATTGTTTTTACATTTGAAGAAAAAGTTTTTGATATGGTTGCTGAAGGTTCGTAATTTTGCCAAGTTTCATTCTTTTTGCTCTGGATCGATTCTAAAGATAATGTATGTGGTTGTTCCCCTGGAAAAATGAGGTTTATCCTTGGATTAAATTTTATATTGGTTTAAATGATAATAAAGTTAGAACTTAGTTTTAGGCGGACTTTGATTTTACAGGAAATGACTTTCTTCCCTAGATGCGAGTTATATTCATTTTGAAAAGCATTCGGTAGGCAAAACCTTTTATAACAGAAGGAAGAGTGCTTTGAGGTGTCATGTATAGGTCGCTATAACCTTACAGATGAGTCTGTAGATGATTTACGGTTGTATAAAAACAGTGTGTAATGTTTAGTTTTATCGATTTCAAATAGAGTCAAAGCTTAATGGATATTGATAATAATTCTTGTTCTGTAAATAATGTTGTTCTCCAAAATTTGAAATCATCCTTTGTGTATTACTAGTTATACAAGTGCGTGGATGTGTATATTCATCTTCTAAGCTAAATGTCATCTCGATAATGCATGGTACGACAAGTTCATTCCATTTTTTCTTATTCTGTTTAATATCTCTATACTTTTTCATTTAAATTTTTTCAAAAGGAATATGTGACGAGTTTATTAATCGAGATAGCATCGCATGGCTGAACATCTCAAAAGCATATCACTTTGTAGATAAAGAAGGGAAGATAAATGATCGTTCTCAAATTCCTTTATTATAATACAAATTGATAGTTATGGGCCCTCTAGGTATTTTCTCATCTCTATCAAGTCTCTGTCATAAAAGAATTGTGCAACGACGATGTTTGTTTGGA